GGGGAGGTCACTTAAAATTGAAGCAAAATAGGGCTGGAAAAGGTCCCCAGGAGTCCACCCTTTTCAAATCAGACTTATCCCTGCCTAAGCCATCCCAGATCTGGGTGTGTCTAAGGCATGGGGGCTGGAAGGTCGCAGCCCTGCTTCTCAGGTGCCCACAGGCTGCACCTGGCATTTGTCATAGACACCTGTGATCTTCTTGGTTGGCACCATCTACACTTGGATGCACATCGCTATTTCTTTTGCACCTCAAGAGCTGGTTTCAGCATCTCTCAATCCTGAAATCCGAGGGTCCATAAAACTGCTGCAAACTGCTCTCAGCAGGCAGGATATTATTTATGTTCAACAAACACCTCCTGCAACTCTTGGAAGTGGCAAGTAGGAGTCTGAAACAATGAGCTTGCTGTGAGCACTTGGACTCCTCTCACTGATGCCCCCAGAAACCTAGCATATCTTGGCCGCAGCTGTCTCCACGAGATTTGCTAGTGAGGTCTGTGCTGCCACAGTGGGAAGCTACAGTGGCCAGAGCCAGGGCAAGAGCTTGCCAGGCAAATGTGTGACAGCCCTGATCTGAGCTCTCCTAAAGACCTGTAGAAGCAAATGCTCATGCACTGCATCAGTCTGGGGCTGAGGGATTCATGTGTCTTATAATGGAATCTGAAGGACTCAATTGACTTCATGGCTCATTGTCACCTCCCTGGTTCTTGCTAATCTCTCTCTACTCCACAGGTGTGAACAATCCACTCTCCTTTTTGTGGCCTTGATTTTCTGCTATTCAAACTACACTTTCTTTTGCAACGTTCCTGTCTGCTAGGCCTTCTGGTCACGCCTCTACTATTTCACAGCCCTGAAGACCGTTTTTAGCTCTAGCTAAAAATTTTAACTTGGGTGTGGTCCTATTAACTCAGATGTAGAAATGACTAGGGATGGCAAGCTATTCAATTGACCAGTCAAATATTGTCAATTGACCAGTTAATTGACTTCATATTTTTGACTGGTCAAAGATTATAGCAATTTTACAAAAAAAAACCCCACTTTTTGTAGTTTTCTTGACAGAAATATGTTATTTTATTGTTTTTGACACAGAAAATATGTGCTTTTTCTGTGTATTATTGGGACCTATTGACAATTTTTTACAATGTTTGATCAATATTTGACTGGTCAATTAACCAAACTTTGTTTGACCAGTCAAATACCCAAGCCCAGAAATGACGTATTGGCGGTATTGATGCAAAGTATTGGAGGTACTGTCAAGACACAAGAAGGATAGATTTTGTTTTATGAATCTGAATAAGAGACATTCATTTAACTATAATAATTCCAGGACTAATGAGACAATATCCTTTGATTACATTTTACCTAGTTGTGTTTTTTGAAAACTTTACATATACTCTAGCTACTCAGTGCATGTTCCAGTAGCTGGATCCTAAACTGAATTATACAGTGCCAGCCCCCCTAACATATTAGTGAAGCATCTGGTTTTGCTTTAACTGAAGAAAAGTGTGCATGTTCATAGATTCATAGATGTTTGGGTCAGAAGAGACCTTAGCAGGTCATTGAGTCTGACCCCCTGCCCTGGGCAGGAAAAAGTGCTGGGGTCAGATGACCCCAGCCAGATGTATGTCTAGCCTCCTCTTAAAGCCCCCCAAGGTAAGGGAGAGCACCAGCTCCCTTGGAAGCCGACTCCAGATTTTGGCAACCCTTACCATAAAGAAGTTCTTTCTAATGTCTAAGTTAAATCTGCTCTCCGTCAGTTTGTGGCCATTGTTCCTAGCTACTCCAAGGGGTGCTCTGGTAAACAGAGCATCGCCTATTTCTTGCAGCACCCCCTTGATGAATTTGTAGGAGACCACAAGATCACCTCTCAGCCTTCTCTTGCGGAGGCTGAAGAGATCCAGGGCCCTCAATCTCTCCTCGTAGGGCTTTGCCTTCAGGTCCCTAACCATACGAGTGGCCCTCCTCTGGACCCTCTTAGGTTGTCCACATCCCTCTTGAAGTGTGGTGCCCAAAACTGGATGCAGTACTCCAACTGCGGCCTAACCAATGCTGCATAAAGGGGAAGTATCACCTCCTTGGACCTGTTTGTTATGCACCTGCTAATGCATGATAAAGTGTGGTTAGCTTTACTTATCACTTTGTCACACTGACGACTCATGTTCATTTTGGAGTCAACAATGACTTTCCGCTGCTGTGCTGCTGAGAAGGTCTTCCCCCAGCCTGTAAGCATGCTGGTGATTCCTTCTCCCTAGGTGCAGCACCTTGCATTTGTCCTTATTGAACTGCATCCTATTCTGTTCTGCCCACTTTTCCAACGTATCCAGATCCACCTGGATTTGTTTCCTACCCTCTGGTGTGTTAACTTTACCCCATAATTTGGTATCATCTGTGAATTTGGACAGAGTGCTTTCCACGCCCTCATCCAAGTCACTGATGAAGACATTGAACAGCACATGTCCAAGGACTGAGCCTTGTGGGTTGTGTTGTTAGATGTGCCACCCATCTTCACTCCCCTTTTCAAAATCCTAGATATGTCTATGGTAAATGGTTTCCTGTCCCAGTGCTGGATGGGATGAGCCTGTGGTACCCTGCAGCCCTAGGACACCAGCGCTGTGTCCATGGAAGCCACAAGGCACTGGGCCCTCAAAGCCTAGTCACTTAAATTGGTACCTTAATCTGGATTAAGACCCCTGTCCTCCTCCCACACAATCAGAGGTTGGGGTGACTCACTGTCCCCCCAGGTACCTGATGCCACAAGCATTACAAAGCGGGGTCCCATCCTCTGCAATTCTCCACAGAGGCGTCTTCTGCGTCTTGCAGGAAGCACAGCACTTGCCCCCTGAAGGGAGAGAGGAAGCGCTGAACCCAGGCTGCCCCATGGCTGTGCTGTAGCGATCCAGCCAGACCAGGTGCTGTCATCTCCCCAGACCAAACTCCCACCTGGTGCCCCCAGCACAGAGCCCCATCACCTGTCTCTGACTAAAGGCCTCTTCCAGAAAAAGCCTCCAGTCCAGGCCTGGAAGAATGAAGAAGTGAGGACTTGGCTTCTGGCCGCAGCTGTCCCAGTAGCCAATTGCCCTCCCTGGTAATGATGGACACCTCACTTCCAACCCGCGTTCTGTCCCCACAAGGGAAGGCAGCAGTTTGCATTCGAGTTTGTTCACTGGGTGAGCCTGAAGAAGTGGCACCTAATAGACCAGTGATTCCCAATCCCCGTAGGGCAGTGCCCTTGGTTGCCTTGAGATCTTTTCAAGGGTGCCGGGGGGGGGGAAGGGGGGCATGCTACGGTAACATGGTGAAGTATGCAAACCAGATTCCCCAGGGGAGCCCAGAGATTTCAAAAAGTCCATTATGTTAAAACCCATCTGACCTGTTGGGGTCTACCTGAGTTCTTTTCAACAGAAAAATTGCTCTAGGATTTTCTGGAGTCAAAAACAGTGTAAAATAAGAGCAGGGATTTTTCAAAAGGAGCCTGGAGTCTACCGAGGTTGAGAACGACTGCTGTGGACTAACAGTAATGAATGCCTCTGCATCAGATAGTCCCCCAGGTGCCCCTGCCCTGCCTTTGTGTGTCATTTGTGCTCCCAGACACAGAGCAAAACAAAGCAGGATGGTAGCAAAGAGGCAGCTGCAACTTTGCCCCATTCCATTCCCCCCAGCTCACCTGCCTCTCTGAAATGGAGGCACCACAGCATGGGGCTACCCACCTAGCGTCAAGCCTGGGGGTTCTCACCCCCTTCAGCCTCCAGACTCTTATCTGTGACTTCCCTGAAGGCAGCAGCACCCTAGTTTAAAAAAAAAAAAACAACTTCGCCTGCTTCTTAACTATGGGAAAATCCCACCTAGAGCCATTCACAGAGCAGCAAAGCACTCGGACAGATACCAGCGGGGCCTGTGGATTCCTCCTGGAAATTGCTGGGTTTATCTGGGGAAGGCTGTGCCAGGGTTTGCATCCCTAACAGTACTAGTACTGTGTGGCACCCTTAAAATGATCCTGTCTCCCCCCGATTGAGAACTTGTGCTCCAGCTCACTGACAGGCCATGTGGGTCATGTCTAAAGGTTGGGAGGAGACTGGCAGGGGATACAGACCTCAGGTAGGATTGTGGGGTGGGGGACAGGACTGTTTCACCCAGACACTGGCCCATGCTCCCCATGACAGATGCCCTGAAATGCAACCTACTCTGTGCTGACAGGGAGTCCGGCTCATCCTCAGAGCTGAGTTCCCTCGATAGGCAGAGCTGCTTAATGAGATTAGCTTGGTGGCCTCTTCTTCTCCAACACGTTGGACTGGGAACAGAGAAGATCGGGTAAGTTTCGCTGGCATCAGGCATTGCTTCAAATTCAAGGCAGTGACAAAACACCTGCAGCTAAACATGGCTTTAAAACAGGCCTCCCAAGCAGAGAAAACAAGCCATCAGTGGTTAAGAGGCAGCTTCCCTTGCTCCTTGTTTCCCCCCCACCACACATGCACATGCTTCCAGGCTTGACCACAGGTCAAGGGGCCATATGGGCACAGCATGGCAGAAGCAGGTTGGGCCCACAGTGCACCATACTCAGGCGCTGGCCCCTCCAGGGGAAGGAGCCAGGAAAGTGGCAACCAGCAGGTGCTGCCCCATGGATTCCCAGTCCCTGGAGGTCTGGTTTCAGACCTGAAGTCTGGCATCCCTCCTGCCATTGTTCTGTCAGCCTCTGGCCAGCCACAGCTGTGCCTGGTCCCTCCAGTTCCCTTTGCCAGCATCAGGTCCTCTGTGGCATTCCCTGGCAGGGAGTTTTCCAGCTGTTTTGTCTCCTTCTCTGCTCTCCTGGTCTGTGCATTGTTCTGTACTTGACCTAGGAACTTCCCTGAGCCTATGCTGGGGAGGGCAGCTGAGAAACCCATCAATAAATAAGTAAATAAATGCCCTTTGCCTTCAAAGAACAAGTGGTTCCTCAGTTCCAGGCTGAGCCTAGTGAGGGCAAATCAGCTGCCAGCTGCCAGGACACCCAGGGGAAAGCCTCCACCCCCTGCCTGCAGGAAGCCAAGTGCAAGAGCCCTTCTGGGAGCCACTCCAGCAAGGCAAACTCCTGCTCTCAGGCTACTGCCAGGCTCCTTCACTGCCCCCAAAGCCCCCGAGGGGCTGGGCTGCACTCTGAGCCAGCCTGCCCTCCAAGGTGCCACTGGGGACCAGTGCAAGGTGCAAGGACCCCGAAGACCCACCCCCCAGCCCAGCCCAAGCACAGTGGGTGCAGGAGGTGGAAGAAGAGCTCAGCCAAGGGAGGGAGGGACGGATGGATGGACACGTGCTCACACACAGGGTAAAGGAGAAGCAGCCTTGCACAAGGAGCCCTGTCTGCTCCCACCAGTACCTGAACCCTAGTTGGATCCCTGCTCCATGACCAGGGTGGAGGGAGGGAGAGACAGACAGACAGACAGACAAATTGGTACGTAAAGGGATGGACAGGCAGACAGATAGGTGTGAGGGGTTGGGCAGACAGACATGTGTAAGGGAAAGGACTGAATGGATCCCTGCTCCACTAACAATAGGGATGGAGGAACAGAGAGAGAGAGAGAGAGAGAGAGAAATGTTTAAGAGAATGGGCAGGCAGACAGACAGGTATGTAAGGGGTCTGAGGTAACAGATGTCCAAGGCAATGGCCAGGCAGGCAGACAAGGGTGTGAGGGGATGGACAGACAGTCAGATGTGTAAGGGAATGGACTGAATGGATTCTTGCTCCACTGTCAAGGGGCGTGGAGGGTCAGAGACAGACAAACAAATGCTTAAGGGAATGGACAGACAGGTAGGTGACAGGCAGGTGTAAGGGGATGGGCAGGTGAAGGTGTGATGGGGCCTGAGGTAACAGCCAGACAGAGGCCTAAGGGAATGGAGAGGCAGGCGGACAGGTGTGAGGGGAGGGAGGTAGGTGTGTCAGGGGCCGGCAGACAAGTGTCAGGGGCCAGAGACGGGTGCGGCCAGGCGGGCGGTACCTGCTGAA